TACAAATAGATTAATTCTTAATTTAAGGCCATTGTGGCTCACATCTACACAAATCAATAGTGATAGCTACATTAATATTAATTAATTTTTCAAGACCAAATGAAGGTTGAAATTGGGAAACACAATTTCCAATCCAACTGCAGGATACTTTATAATTTATTGAAATTACAATTTTTGACTTTTTTAACTTATTAATCATTTATGTGTTCATAGTTTAAGTGCATTCTAACTAGGTTGGCACCTACTGAACTATAATTTAGTTGTTTAAATTATTCTACGTTTGCCAACTAATCTTCTGCAGCTTCTTTTGCAAGGCTTTTGAAGTCTTCAGTGACATTGTAATCATTTTATCTTGCATTCTCCTAACTACAAAAATCCAATTTTTCATGCATATAAGAGCTTCAAAAATGTCTTCCTTGAGTCTTGACCTGCTTTCATCCTATACCCTACCACCTGCAATAAGAGCAGGATCAGTTGCCACTGTTGATACTTGAATTGTTAGTAAATATCGTGCCATTTTTGATATTATTGGATACGATCTTTCATTTGTTTTCCGCCAATTAAAGGTATCAAAATTTAATACTTCGTCATTCGGAATTAAACTGTAGATATCAAATTGGTAATATCTTTCTATAGTGTTCGCGCCATTGTTACAACTATAAGCACCATGACATTTCTTAGCTATCTCAGAATAAAAAGATCCTTTGCCTTTAGAATGTGATGCAAAGCTCGTAGATGAACAAATACTTTCATCATTTCCATATTTACTTAAATAGGAATTATAAAATTCATTAATAAAACATTCCAATTCATGATTTGTAATATTTATATTAAAACTTAAACTTTCTAAAAGTTTTTCCTTCGCACATTGAACTCCAAATAATTTAAGTCTTGGATCCATAGCAACTGCCACCAGAAAAATTAGTAGCATGTTTTTCATAATATTTTCAAAATTTATCTTCCATCGCACAAAACAATTTCAATAAAAAATTGCATCGTACTTGCAACTCGAAAATTGTTTACCAATGTCTACTAGTAGTGTAAGTACTAAACAACCTGTTACGTAATAAACACCTGAACAAAGTTAGAAAAAGCAATTGATCCACAAGGAGATTGAAAAGAAGTAATTTGAGCTTGTTTAGCATTTAAATTTCTTGCTTCCTTAAAATGAGATTTGTTGCGTCTCTGTAATGTGCCGATGCCTTGACCGCAAACCCAAACGTATTCTTTTGAACAAATTTTACACACTGCTTTTCCTCTTTCTGAATCAACTTTAAAAATTTGCCTCACATCTGATATTTGTTTTCTTATTTTTTGGCTGGCTAGATGATCCAATATTTGAATTTTCATCATCAAGATTTATTAGAGAACAACTATCATGTAAATTAATATTATCAATAGAAAAATATGAGATTCCATCACTGGTGACACAGTAGTAACTATTAAACAATAAGTTGCTAAATATTCTAGAAAAATGAATGTTGAAACTTAAATGGCTAAAAATTTATGAATTAAAACTATAAAATGAGCAAATATTTGTGCAAAACGAATTAGTACAATGCGTAAATAAATAGGATATTTATAAGTGAAAAACCAAATATTTTGCAACGTTCAAAAAATTTAATTGATTTTCGTGTGTTTTACGTCTTCTTCATTTTAGGAAAGAAAATATTAAAAGCAAAAGGACGTGTATAGAAACGAAATGAAATTATGAAAGTTTTAGGCCTGTGACATGCAAAAATGGTATTAAAAAAAAATGGCAATTTTTCTTATTTAATAATAATAAAAAAAAAGAATGCCTGCCTTCTTTTACTCGAGAATGCAGATTCTTGCTTCCTTTCATTTATTAAGGCAGATTTGCCGCCTTAAAGGGGTGGATGGTCTTTTTTTATAAATTCCACATTTTTTAATTTTTTAAAAACTTAGCGGGCTCGACGGTTAATCGTTGGGCCTGATCCGAACTGGATTTCATATTTATCAGCCTGTGAATTGGCCCACCTAAATTATGGGTCGATTTAAGGGTCATTTTCCCCGGGTCTATCCCGGGTTTGCCATATCAAGCTTGCCCAGTTTTACACCACTAGAAACCACTTGTAAACATAATAACAGTCACTCAAAATCAAATGTCTACAATTTTCAAAATATAAAGTAAAGGTGCCAATAGCTTTCACTAACACTATTGCTCCCGTGCCAACTCTAAGAGTGTATTCTCGTTCATTAAGGTGCTTGATTTCGTGGAATCCCTGCAAAGAATTGCAAACATGATCAATAGCTCTGGAATCTACAATCCATGTATTAGTAGAATTAACCACTAAGCATGAGTCAATGAATAGGGCATTGCCTTTCCTTCATTCCCCTTAGTGTTAGGTAATCTGGGCAATTCCTCTTCCAATGACCCTTTTGTTCACAAGTAAACTATTTTCCCTTTTGTTCACGGTTTTTTTAATACCACTTTTGGCCTTCAGAACAGTTTCAGCGTTTTGCAGCTCTTTCATTAATTCCTTTAGAGACATGTCCATCTTGTGTAGATTATAATCAACTATAAACCGTGAGAACATCTCAGAGAGAGTCTCAAGAACCATGTCAATCTACATCTCGTAATCAATATCAGCTAATAAAACCTCCATAGCATTGAAGTGACCAATCACGGTTAATGTGTTGTCCCTCATAGATGTGTCTAGTTTCATGCATGTGTTCATAATTGTCCCAATGGAAACTTGTCTAGCTTGTCTGCTTTGATGTCCAAACATCTCTTGAAAACTTTCTATTATGTCAAAAACAGTTTCCATGTTTTGATTTTTTGTTACAATACATTTGACATGGATGTCAAAATGTAGGAACGAGATATCTCATCAAAATGATGCCACCTTTCATATGCAGTCTTTTGAGATTCCCTGGAATTATCTTTAGAGGCTTCGGAACAAATTTCAATCAGTACAAATTTGTGTTTTTCAATTATAAGAACAATGTTAAGATTCCTCTTCCAGTCAACGTAGTTTTCTCCCACAAATTGGATTTCGTTAAGTATTTGTGATAATGGATTAAGTGATATTTTTCTGTAAAACTAATGATTCACATATTAATAAAATGAACAATGCATATAATTTTAGTACACCGAGTGATGTTTCATTTAACCTACATGGCATGTTATAATCATAAATTCATTCATCATCTATAAAGAGATAAAAACAATATTTAAATGAATTATAATCGCTTATGACCCATCCTAAGAATTTAAACTACAGCAAGAATTAATGCACTTTATTGGGCCACATTCTGACCCAATTCTTCAATTTTCTTGTAATTCAATCTATGCAATATGCAAAATATGGGTCAATTTAATTTTGAATCCCAATCTTTAAAACAAAAGCACTTATCGAACGAAATTTGCCCAACTATCAAAGAAAAGCCCAAAACTTTAAAATTGAACCTTAACTTGACAAATCTAGCACAACCACTTTTCGACAGCGGCACCGACGACGACGACCCCAAGAGAAGCCACCGCCACCGACAACCGCAACCATCGATTGGGACAGCGGTTGCAATTGTTGTAGGGCAAGTAGCTGCTGTAGGGAGCAGTAGAAATAGTTGTTGCCACAACCAGCTACAACACCGATAGCAACCCGTTCTGCTTTTGGTTGCGATGACTACCTTTGCCACTTGGTGGTTCCACAATGGTATTGTCTCCTTTTGTTCTATTTCTCTTTTCTTCCATATTTTCAACCAACACCTCTATAGCCATGAGTTTCTCATCTCTAAAACACCAAGTTTCCCAAGAAAAACTACAACACGGGATGTTTGGAGCCAAAAAAACCCATTATCTTCTCTTAATACAAAGTGTAAAAATATGAAAAATGAATATATAAAACCCTAGTGCCTCATGACTTACAATTTTTCTAGAGAAAAGTGAAACAAATGAAATAAATTACAATAATAGGAAGCAAAAAAATCTAGAGCCAGAAGTGATTATGTATAAACATCTAATTTAAACATAAAAAACAATTAACATGTCAAATCAAATAACGTGACACCACCCATACTAAAAATTCATTTTATACTAGGATTTAGAAACTTAATCTTACTCAAAGCTCTCAATAACCGTTGGCTCTAGTACCATTTGTTGACTATTAGATATACTCATCACAAGAGAAAATTAATTTACCTTTGAAGATTAAACCTAAGTGAATAATTGATTTTAGATCACATTGAGATCATTGAATGTTGTTTTTTAAAACCTCACATATAAGGGTGAGATGGAGCTTTTAATGGCATAGCTAAGTGTTTTCACACTTAGATTTTCTCCCTTATTCTGCTTAGATTCCTCCTTTTTGGGAAATATGAAAATGTGGTTAGCCCTAAAACTTAAGAAATGTGCCCACAAAGGGTATTTATAATACTCAATTAGAGTTTCATAAGTCACACACATTTATTAGAATCAACAGAGTGACTTAACCGTACTTGCAAGACTCAAAATCCAATAAATGTTTCTAATTGGGTTAACTCTTGACCAATTGATATACATCTATTAATTCTGGCTTATTTTACCAAAAAATCGAAATTTCATTCTCGAGTGGAGTGATAGTTATGGAAGCAAATTATGATCTGATAACAATATCCTCTGATTATCGTTCCACAACTCAATCTCTGTTTGACAGTCAATATGTTGAAACTGTCAAAATGACTGTTTTGCCCTTCAACATGTATTATCCTCTACGTCCCATTTTCATGAGGCGAATTCATTGTGATCAAATCACAACGATCGATCTCAACTTCGGACTACTGAGCTTAGGTTCAATTGTCTATAGAAAATACCTTACAGTGACGATCATCTCATCATGATAATTAACGGATTCCACTATCTCAAGTATATGATCTCTAACTGTTTTGACCGGATTCTCAAAGAACCGAGATCAATCTTCTAATTAAGATTTCACTAATTGGTACCTCAAAGAATTTGAACTAGCAATCAAATGTACATTACTCACTCAAGATTTAAGTGACTTCTTTGATAATCTAGTAGTCTCTTTCCGAGCAATCACAAATGAGTCATCTACGCGGTCCTGTTCAATGTGCATTAAAAACACCTTATTGTTCTTATAACCAAATTTAGACAAATTTCAATAAGAATAATGCAATTTTATCAACATAAAACGTCCAACTTTATGTACCGATTGTGAAGGAAATTTTGACAACATTACGAATTATGTCTCACTATATCCGCACCAGCGAGCTGCGAGTATACAATTTTTGACATCCTATATAATCATGGAACCTTAGATAATTATTTCAAATTGTAACACGCGAATAATCGAACGTTAATTACTTAATTCATATGTCGTTTTTACGAAATACTACTCGAAAGGGCATCAAACTAACAGTTCACACATTTCAATCTACTTCCCCATTTGGCTAGAATAGGGTAGCACTTATATTCAACTCGACTTGAATAGAAGTAGACCAAATCATCTTCCGAAGTCGATTAACACCTAAAAACGTAAGTTCTCATTCATAACTATCATCGTTCAACTACTAAGTAGTAAGTACTAACGTACTCTAATTTACTTGCACATAGATCACAATAACAAGAAAAGTTCGAAAAATTCAAAATTGCATGGCATATACCAATTTGGAGAAATTGTTCCATGCTAAAAAATAAAAAGAAAAAAAGACTCCTATTGATCCAACCCTGANNNNAAGACTCCTATTGATCCAACCCTGACATCCCGAATCATATGATTCTTTTATGTAATACATGAAACTTCATATATTATGATGTAGCTTTTTCATGAAGAGTGAGAAGCTTTAAGTCATTTTCCATTTTTTCAGGGACTAAAGTGCAAATATTAAAAGTATGCTTTTAACTGAAGAAAAGATAAATTTAGCCTCTGTTTGATCCACATTCAACAAAAATTCATTCTGTCAAAACTCATTTCAACCACATATTCTTCAATAAAATAATATTTCTCATCATACCCAAAACTTTTCTTTATTTTTTAACCACACATTTTCCATCAATCTACTATTCTAAAATACATTCTTCCAAAATAATGTGGCTCAAACACACCCTCAGTGTATTCAGTGGAAAACTGGCTCATGCATTGCTAAGAAACATATTTGGACATCATTTGAGGAATTCAACATTTCAGAGAGACTGTTGGGAAGTTTTTCGAGGTGTACTTCTTCGTTCAATGTCATCCTCTCCCAACAATGGAAAGCTAGCATCAGCGGATCCAAGAAGTGGAATATACTCTGATCCTCTAACGTGGACACTAAAGCAAGCTGCATAATACGAAAATATCAAAAACTCATCCGATGAGGGAAGCAGTAAATGTAAGTTAGGCACATTCTTGATGTAAGATCAAACAACTAGAATAGTAAACATTCTAGATGTCATTTTTTGTGTATGGCATCACTGCACAATCTAAATCTTGATTTCAGAACTTTACTTTCCTTAACATTTAAGAGTATAGGATGAAAATATGCTTTGAATGACTACAGAACATAATATAAGAATAAATTGCAAACTTAATTATTTTAAGANAAGACTCCTATTGATCCAACCCTGATATCCCGAATCATATGATTGTTTTATGTAATACATGAAACTTCATATATTATGATGTAGCTTTTTCATGAAGAGTGAGAAGCTTTAAGTCATTTTCCATTTTTTCAGGGACTAAAGTGCAAATATTAAAAGTATGCTTTTCACTGAAGAAAAGATAAATTTAGCCTCTGTTTGATCCACATTCTACAAAAATTCATTCTTTCAAAACTCATTTCAACCACATATTCTTCAATAAAATAATATTTCTCATCATATCCAAAACTTTTCTTTATTTTTTAACCACACATTTTCCATCAATCTACTATTCTAAAATACATTCTTCCAAAATAATGTGGCTCAAACACACCCTCAGTGTATTCAGTGGAAAACTGGCCCATGCATTGCTAAGAAACATATTTGGACATCATTTGAGAAATTCAAAATTTCAGAGAGACTGTTGGGAAGTTTTTCGAGGTGTACTTCATCGTTCAATGTCATCCTCTCCCAACAATGGAAAGCTAGCATCAGCGGATCCAAGAAGTGGAATATACTCTGATCCTCTAACATGGACACTAAAGCAAGCTGCATAATACGAAAATATCAAAAACTCATCCGATGAGGGAAGCAGTAAATGTAAGTTATGCACATTCTTGATGTAAGATCAAACAACTAGAATAGTAAACATTCTAGATGTCATTTTTTGTGTCTGGCATCACTGCACAATCTAAATCTTGATTTCAGAACTTTACTTTCCTTAACATTTAAGAGTATAGGATGAAAATATGCTTTGAATGACTACAGAACATAATATAAGAATAAATTGCAAACTTAATTATTTTAAGAATATTTGCGCCGAAATAGCAAGAGCTTACAAATTTCTTTGACAAGAAATCTGAAGATTCCTACTAGAGTCTGATCCCATGTATGGAATTTCTTATAGCCCAACCACATAATACCGTAACATTAGTTTGAGTATTTCCTTTCCTCATATCTTTTCTAATTCAATTAAGAAATATGGTAACAAAGGAAAGAGTAATAAGGAATGAGAAAATGCATCTTCCAACAAGGTGCACATTATAAACCAACAATTGGATGTAACACAAAAGTGGATGACATCACTAGATCAAAATGGGATCAAGAAAGTAGAATGCAGAGAATAACAGTAAATTTCGTTAAAGAACACATTTGTATATGAAGTATGTGGTTCAAAGAGTTCAAAAGTATTTTGAAACCTGCGTTATGTTGGGACCAAGTTTTGTCAGTCTATTGGGTGTACACTCAAACATATGAAATACATACTACAAACATCTGTAAAATGTAAACATCATACCTTTCTCTATTTTCATTAAACTTTGGAGCATTATGTCCATCTTTGATTTCATGTCAGAAGAGTCATCCATCACGGGTGCCAGAATTGTCAACTCTCTATAGATTTCACGAACAAATGTGCAGATCTTCTTTGCAAATTCAACTTCACCATCTGATATTCGACCCATTGCCAACCTCATCAGCTCTCCTGTCAAGTCTGCAAGCTGAACAAGAACAATCAATGGTAAGATCAGAGCAGCATAAAAAGTCTAAAAAATTAATGTACAAAATCTATTTTTACAACTGTATCACAAGAACAAACTATAGCAACTAATGCTCATCATATTCAAATGATAATTTTGCTAGGTCTTTATATAAACTAAACTTGTATACTTTCATGTATGCTATATTATGTGCATAATTAGTGCACTCATAAATTCTAAAATCAGATAATTACCCCCAAGACATAATCAATCGAATTAATCTGCAAGGGCTCCATGGATGGGTCGCTTAACGGTAGTAAGCCAGCATTGACACCATCAAGGTCCAAAAGAGTTCCAGCCTTGCAGAAATTAAACAATGTCACAGCTTCAATGTATTCTTGAACCTATAAGCATGAGCAAAATGACTTGAGTTGTAAAGTTCTTTGCAGCATTCCAAAGTCAAAAAGATAGAAAATGCACACCCCAGGAGAATATGCTCGTCTTAGCCTCCAAAAATCTGTTCCTTGAAGTTCTTTTACTAGACGGGATACATATTGGTCTCTCACCACAGCTAAATCTTTTTCTGCTTTTTCCAAAACTTCATCTTTGTTGTGTTTACCAATTCTGTCATTAGAGTGGTAAAGAATAAACACTTTCGCATCTAGTAGAATATTCAGAAAATAAAAGCGCTATAAAATATCAGCAAAAAGTATAAATTCTCATAAGACTAACGAAAGTACAATTCATGAAAAAATGAACAGGCATACATTAGCTTGACAAGATACTTCAAAAATATAACTAGAAAGAAGGCATAAGAATGAGTAGCTGTCAAAT